AGACAATCGCATCTGCCCTGGGAGAACAGGACACTAGGGGCCCCACACACCACAGCTCCTGGAGGGAACAAATTTCACAGGGACTTGACCTGTATCCCTTCCACCAGTGCCCTCCCCGCCATCACTGCCCAGGATGGGAGATGCAGAGCTGGCCAGAGAGGGCTTTGGAAAGGGTTCAAGTCTCCAGCAGGGACAGGACAGGACACAGAGGTCCCCACTGCCAGCCCAGCTCCACTCCTGGGGCCATAGGGGACGAAGAAAGGCCCAGGTCCTTCCCCCATTTTAACCATTTGTACATTTGTGATGTTGTGCCACTATCCGTCTCTAGAATTTTTTTTATAACCCCAAACAAAAACTCTGCACTCATTTGACAATAACTCCCCTTATCCGTCACCCTGCAACTCCTGTGACCACTATGCCACTTTCTATGAAATGGCTTTTTCCAGGTACCTCCTTGAAGTAGAATCACACAGTGCTTCTTTTGTGTCTGGATTATTCACTTAGCACTGTTTCTTCAGGGCTCATTGATGCAGTATGTATCCGACTGTCCTTTTTAAAGGCTGAATAATATTCCATTGTGTGCATCTACCTCATTTTATCTGTGCGTCCATCCACAGACATTAGGCTTGTTTCACCTTTGGCTGCTGTGAACGTGCTGTACAAATACCTGGGTCAAGTCTCTGCTTTCAATTTTTTTGGGGGGAGGGGGGATGAACCAGCAGGATTACTGATCAAAAAATGTTTTAACACTTTTAAGTAAATTAGTCTTTGTTTAATAAAGTTGGCCATTTTGCAGCATTTTTTGTTTTTGACACCACCTCTCTCTGTGAAGAGAGAAATGTTTGGTAACAACATCAGTGAGTGTTTTGTTTTGTTTTTTAAACAAGAACGGCAAAAACTCTGACGGAGGCAGCTGGTGATGGGAAACATCAGTACAAAAGCCAAGGCGGAACTTTTTTATTTTTGTTTTTGAGACAGGATCTTGTGCTGTAGCTCAGGCTGGCTCACAGATCCCATTAGCCCAGGCTCGTTTTGAATTCACAATCCTCCTTTCTCTGTCTCCCAGGTGCTGGGATTACAGAAGTCTCAACCACGGCCTGGCAAGACTGAACTTTTGATTAAAAATATAAATAAACACTAAATCAATTGCTTGATTGGGAAAGCTGAATTTTTTCTTGGTCAGCATCATTTACAAATCTTATGTAATAGCATGACCTTTGTTGTTTTTTTGTTTATTAGCAAACAACCAAAGGCTTGTTTAGCCTCATAGAATATGCCATCAATCTGTCAAGCTGTTCTCTCTGACAGTGGAAACTTTACTCTTTTTTTTTGTACTGCATCTTTCACTGGAATTTCACTTGTTCTAATTTTATATGCTGGCTAATAATGCAGTTCTCACCAACTTCTACAATTTGCATAAACTTTTTTTTTTTTTCGGTACTGGGGCTTGAACTCAGGGCCTACACCTTGAGCCACTCCACCAGCTGTTTTTGTGAAGGTTTTTCAAGATAGGATCTCATGAACTATTTGCCCAGACTGGCTTCGAACCTCGATCCTCCTGATCTCTGCCTCCTGAGTAGCAAGGATTACAGGCATGAGCCACTGGCACTCGGCTAAACTTTTATTTTTTATGGTGCTTGGGTTTGAACTCAGGGATTCTCGCTTCCGAGGCAGATGTTATACCACTTGAGTCACATCTCCAGCCCAACCAGCTGTTAGAATTTGGATCTTGAAAGTTCCTCAAAGGCCCATGTTAAAGGCTTGGCGCTACAGGGAAGTGGTGGAGTCTTTAGGGAGTCATTGGAGGTGTGCCCTCAAAGAAAACTGTGAGACCTGATCTCTTAGTCTTTCTCTTTCTCTTTGCTTCCTGGCTGGTGATGTGAGAGGTTTTGCTCTGCAGACCTTCCACCATAATGTGCTGTTGGCCGTAGTCCAATACAATGAGGCCAATCTGTCATGGCCTGAAACCTGAAAACTGTGAGTCAAAATAAACCTTTTCTCTTTATAAGTTAATTATCACAGGTATATTGTTATAGTGATGGGAAGCTGACTAACACACCAACTGGATGACTTTTCTTTTTTCAGACAATAGGCCCTACTTCTAAATAACTTGCTTTTTTGGATCTTTTTGCTGAATATAACCTTTTTAAAAAAAATACTTAATCTATTTAAGATACCAAAAGATGTTTTAAAATTTACCATATTTACTTGTCAAATGGCTGTGACTTGCAGTAAGGTATTTTATAGTTTTGCTGGCACCATTTTCCATTTGTAAATTTTATTCATTTATTTATTTTGCAGTGTGTGGATGAAACCATGGTAGGCAGGTGAACTGCACCCCTTACCCTGTAAGTTGTAACTTGTTTTGTTTGTTTGTTTTGGGGTGATACTGGGGTTTGAACTCAGGACCTCACACTTGTCAAGCAAACACTCTACTGCTTGAGCCACGCCTCCAGTGCATTATTTTGCTCTGTTTATTTTTTGAGATAGGGTCTTGCTTTTTGCCCAGGCTGGTGTGAAATATGACCCTCCTATTTTAAACTTCTCACGACTGCTGTGGTGACAGGAACATGCCACCATGCCCAGCTATTGGTTGAGATGGGGTCTTAATAACTTTTTGCCTGGGGTTGCCTCGAACTGTGATCCTCCAGATCTCAGCATCCCAGGTAGCTAAGATTACAGGCATGAGCCACCAGCACCCAGCTTAAAAACTATTTCTTCTTGTCTTTTTTCCCCCCTTGGCAGTAGTGGGATTTGAACTCAGGGCCTCAAACGTGTTAGGCAGGCACTCTTACCACTTGAGCCACTCCACCAGCTCCTCTGATTTTCTATCTCACTAGTAGAGTTTGTTCTCATAAGCCACTCACCATCACAAAGTGGGGGAGGTTGGGGTGTTGGCTCAGCGGGAAGACAATGCTTCTATCTCTCCAGGAAATATGGTTGTACACGTTACCACAGATGTCCTGATTTCAAAATTCATATGAAAAACTGAGAAAGGACTTAAGTAAAAGTACAGTTCACTGCCACACCCAACTGACCGATCTCCATCAAGTGGTTTTTGGTGGGCAGCTGCCCACCACTAAAAGCACTGCCTCTCTTGACCCAGGAAGTTCAAAATTCAAGATTTGTTTTTCAGATCCCCTGCCTAGAGATGTCTCAGGGAACTCCATGATTCTGCAGAAGCCCAGCTGAAGAGCCTTCCCTGGAGTGTTGATCCTGTGTCCTTCCATCTAAATGCCACATTCAGGAAGGGGAGCTCAAACCCAAAGCCTAAAAGTTGCTCCTATTCCTTTTGGCTACAGCTGTTTTCAAGATCTGTTCTAGCACTGGGGATACAGCAGAGTGGTAGAGCACTTTCCTAGCATGTAAAAAACCCTGGGTTCCATTCCCAGCACAAAATGAAGGCAGGAAGAGAGGGAGGGAGGGAGAGAGGGTGTGTAGGACAAGCTTTGGAGAGGATTTCGGGAAGAAGACAGGACAGCACGATGGTTAGAAGTACACTTCAGAGTTAGACAGTGCTGATTTTTTCTTTTGGGCAGTATTGGGGATTGAATTCAGGACCTCACACTTGCTAAGCAAGCCCTCTTCCACTTGAGCCATGCCCCTAGTCCTCTTGCTTTTCATTTATTTTTCAGATAGGGTCTTGCTCTTTTGCCTGGGGCCGGCTATATGGTGAGATTACTATATCAATCACGTGGGATAATTGTGAGGATTAAGTTAAATTGTGTGAAGCAGGTCCTTTGTAAATCACAGCTGATAGTTTTGTTTAATAACCCAAGTGGGGGTGGAAGAGTGGGGGAGAGTAGTCTGTCAACAAATATAACCTTTACATATCTTGACAGGAGCCATGGCTCATTTCCATAATCCCAGCTACTTGAGAGGTGGTGATTGGCTTTAGGTTCCAGGCCAGTCCAGCAAAAAGTTAGTAAAATCCTATCTCAACAAATAAGCCGGGTGTGGTAGCACACACCTGTGATTCCAGTGAGGAGGGAGGCTATAGGTAGGGGGATCCTGATCTGAGTCCAGCCCCAGACAAAACACATGAGACCCTACCTAAAAAATAACTAAAGCAAAAAAAGGGAGCTGGGGGAGTGGCTCAAATGGTAGCACACCTGCCTACCAAACATGAGGTCCTGAGTTCAAACCTCAGTACCACCAAAAAAGGGGAAAAAAGTTTTATATATCTCGGTTTTGATCCTGTGAGGTAGATGCTAATACTCCCACTTAACGGAAGAAACTGAAGCATGGGAAAATGAAGCAATAAATCCAAAGTCACATGTCTACGTACAGGGGAGTCAGGTGGTCCTAACCGCAGTCTCCAAGTGGAACAGGATTGGGAGTTACTAGACCACTAGATTTGAACTCGGGGCTTTGCGCTTGTGAGGAGGTGCTCTATCACTTGAGCAACATCCCCAGCTCTTCTCATGAAGTTCTTTACAACGGCAAGTCTGAAGCGACTGATGGAGCCATGATGTCACCGTGGACATCTTGTCCTGTTCACCATTGCCCTGCTGAGTTATCTTGGATCTCACTTGTCTCATTTTACAACAAAGGAGTGAGACATAATAATTCTTAATTCTGAACTGTAATCCAGAAAGAAGCATTTCTAAATGAGGCCCACGCCTTCTGGTGACATCACAGAAAGGAGAGTTCCAGAAGAATAGCCAGCCCTTCTGAGAAGCTCAGTTGATGTTGAGCTAAGCTTCCAAGAGAAAGGAAATCCAAGAAGAGAGCAACTGGTTCTAGCTCCTCGTTGCAGGGTTCCCAGCATAGTCATGGATCAACCCTCAAAGACTGAAGAGACTGATAACCTAGATGGACCCTCTACCCTCCACTCACCCTCCCCACGCCATAGGCCAGGCCACAGTGGAGCCCACCATCATGAATCCCAACAACGTGGGGAGACTCAGCAACGTGGTGGGTTCCCTCATGGGGGAACCCAACCCCACCAAGATTTCCTAAACATCCACGATAATGCCACTTCTTTCTACCACCCTGGCATGTCCCGCCATCAAGGCAGGCATCCCCACCAACCCTCCACAGCCTTTGGTCTTGCTCCCTCCTCTATCAATGCACAGCACTTTCATGATGAGCACCATAGCAGGACCCAGCCTGGTGGGATCCTCCACCATGGTGGGCCACAGCACCATGGCAGACAACATCACCACCATGGTGGACCCCATCCCGTGATTGAGCCCGTATCTCCCCAGTCTGGTGTGTCCTCAAACACCATGACTTCCCAACATGGTAGGGGTCATTCCCAAGGTGTACCACACCACCTTGGGGGCCACCATCAGCAACGGGACCCTTCCTCCCAAGAGTATGCCCCCCAGCAAGAAGAGGACCACCACCGTGGTGAATCCCGCCAACATGGCAGGCCCCCTCTTCCTGACCACTCTCGGGGCAGAAGCCGTAAGCAACGTGGAGAAAACATTCCCCATACTTCTTCTGATACATCCTCCCACCCTATCCCATCGCACTTCTGCAGAGAGCAACGTGGTGGTCCCCGCCCCAGTGAATACCACATCAGAGACCGCCCGCCAACCAGTACCACTCCCACTCCCAGTACGGTGCCTCTCAAATGTCTATCCCACGCAAGCCTCCATTAGGCGCTCCGAGTACACTGCGTTCCAGGACCTCAACCTACAGCGGAACTCAATCCCACGTAGCAATTCAGTCACATCCCTCTCAGGCCCAGACCACCATCAAAGAATCGGAAACCTGGAATGAGGATGACCGTTTCCATAAACGCAAAAGTAAGTCTTTGCCGAGCTTCCCACCCCCAATTCTCACTGCCTGGCCCAGATTCATCCATATTTAGCCCAGACCCGCCCTGGCCTTGGCTCACCAGGAGCCTTGAATCTCAACTACATGTGTGTTCCACATTTCTCACTGTTCACCATCCCGTCCTTAATTTTATTCTTTTTCTTATTTATTTAGTGTCACTGGGAGGCGGGGGTTGAACTCAGGGCCTCACACTTACTAGGCAGGTACTAAGCTCACGTTTAGTTCTTTTTGTGGTAGAGTCTCAGGTAGTGTGGATCACAGTCCTCCCAAGCAGCTGGGATCACAGGTGTGAGCCACGCCTACCCCATCCTTGAATCATGCACCTCTGCAGGCCATGTAGTATTTCTTCGTTTGGTCATTCACACTTTGACTTCTTGATCATTGAGACTTGTCCTCTTTTTTGGGAGGGTGGTAGTGGGGTTTGAACTCAGGGCCTCATGCCTGCTAGGCAGGCATTCTACCACTTGGGACACTCTGCTGGCCCCAAGGCTAATCAAATGTGAGTGCCTGAACTGCTTGAACCCTAGCAGTACAGGAAAGAATCCAGCCCTGTCCTGCCCTTGAGGGGGTGATCTAGGGCTGGGAGTGGGTGCTTAATCCCAGGCCATCCAGTGCTAGGAGCCTCCACATCTGAACATTTACCTCTGTGGATTCTATGTGTCCTCATTTCCCTACTAAACTGTGGGCTGCTGAGGACAAAGCCTGGGAGCTAATGCCTGAATGCATGCTTTACTAGGAGGCATGGAGGGACTTTGGCTGTTACAGTCTCCCAGATTTGGTTCCTAATAGTTTAGTAAACATGACAACCATCTCATGAACAAACAGAAGGGACAAGTGACTTATTGGATGGGGACAGGAAAAGCAGTCAGGAAGAGAGAATATTTCAGCAGGATCTTAAAGGGAAAGGGAGAGCTCACCAAGAGGACGGAGGGTCATGTTTTCATGTGTAAGTTGACATGTGAGCAAAAGACATGGAGGTGCAGGACCAGGAAACCTTAGAATCCACTCAAGCCAACTCCAAAGTGTGAAAGGGGATCAGGACTGTGGCCCCCAAACCAGCACAGCGCAGGGCACATTAGTGGTCGGACAGCAGGTCAGCGGGCAGTGATGACAAGGAGTCCCAACCCAGACTGAGAATATGCCTGAGACACCTGTGACCCCCACCTGCGCTGACATGACTTTCTGGTCCCTTTTTAGTAGGCAAGAGCCAGCGGGTCCACAAGAAGTACACTGGGAATCTCTTCCAGCTGTTGTGGGACAAATTTAGCAAGGTCATCTTGGGCCTTCAGAACATGATGCGGACACTGACTCAGTCCCTGGGCTTTGAGTCCTTCATCTTCGTTACCGTCTGCCTCAACACCATCATGCTTGTGGCCCAGACCTTCGCTGAAGTTGAGATCCGGGGTGGTAAGAGCTTGTTCTTCTGAAGAAAGTCATTGATGCGCTTCCAGGGCCTCCCTGGGGCCAGACCCTGTGATGGGATGGGTGATTCGTATAACCTATCTCACTTGATCCTCAACCCTGGGAAGTCAGTGATAGTCCCAGTATTACCAGAGATAAGGCTCAGAAAGTTACTGCTGAGGTCAGAAGACACCAGCTGAACTGGAAGCTGTGCTGTTTGTGGATATAGCCACCAGGTGGCGTATCTGCTTGAAATATGCTGTTCTGGGTGGGAAAACTGCGGGAACCCCGGTGTCCAGGAACTGCCAGGAAACCCCTGGAGTGGTTGGAAAGAGAGCCTGGAAAGGTTGGCCTCTAAAATCTTGGTGAGGTCCAGCATAATGGTTCACTTCTATAATCCCAGCTACTTAGGAGACAGAGATGGGGAGGACCACAATTACAGGCTTACCCAGGCAAAAAAATAGGGAAACCCTATCTCAATAAAAGAAGTCAGGCATGAGGCTGGAGGTGTGGCTCAAGCAGTAGAACATCTGCCTAGAAAGCACAAAGCCTTGAATTCAAACCCCAGTACCACCAAAACACAAAACAAAACTAAACTAAACAAAAAACAAGCCAGACATGGTGATGTACCTCTCATCTACACAGCAGGCGTAGATAAGAGGATAACAGTCCAAGGTCACCCGGGGAAAAAATGGAAGACCCTATTTCAAAAATGACTAAAGCAAAAAAGAGCTATCAGTGTGGCTCAAGTGGTAAAGTGCTTCCCTAACAAGCACAAGGCCCTGAATTCAAACTCTGATACCATCACCATCCCCCCGCCCCCCCAAAAAAACAAAAAAACATGGAACAGGGTAAAGGAAAAGAAAAGGTCACATTACATGCTCACTGTTCCAGGCTCTATTCTAGGTGCTTGTTAAATGCATTTAGTACTCATGACAACTCTATCAAGCAAACTATTGTCCCCATTTTACAGACAAGAAAACTAAGGTGCTCAGTAGTTAAGTCACACAGCCTTTTAAGGTACAGCCAGGGAAAACCGCAGTATTTGGGCTTGTGTGATGTCCCAGTGGCACTGGGGGGCTGGGAGCAGCCTTGTGCAAGTCCTTGTTGCTCCCACAGAATGGAACTTCCTGGTCCTGGACTGCATTTTCCTCTGCATCTACGTATTAGAGGCCCTGCTCAAGATCATTGCTCAGGGCGTGGAGTATTTTTATGATGGCTGGAACAATCTGGGTGGGTTGGTTGGAGCTGGGGGAGCCTTGAATGGGGGCGGGGGGGAGACTGAGGACAAAAGAGGGGCAGGAATGGGGCGCTAGCATTGGAAGGCCTGTGAGTCTGGACCAAGGGCCCAATAGGCCGCTCCCCACTCAGTCACCCTCTCCACCCTCAGACTTCTTCATCATGATCATGGCAGTGCTGGATTTTGTGCTCCTACAGCTCAACTCCATCTCATCCTCCTTCTACAGCCACGGCCTCTTCCGGATCCTCAAAGTCTTCAAGAGCATGCGGGCTCTGAGGGCTCTCCGGGTCCTGAGGAGGCTCAGGTCCGTGCAGCCGAGCTGTTCATCCTGGGGTGGGGACTCCAAAGGAAAGCGGCCTAGGTTCCCAAGGAATCCACAGGACCTGCTCAAGGGATGAGGGGAGGGACTGCAGTCTCCAGCCTGCTTCTGATAACTCTCCTCTGGGATCCATCACTGGGATCAATCTCTTCATTATCCTGGAAAGTACCAGGACTCATCAAGTCACCAGCAAATCATGGATCCCCAGCTTTCAGTGCAAGTTCTGGTTGCTGGGCGAGGATCCCCACCCCCACCCCCGCTGATACAGCCTCCCTCTCCACCTCTGCCCACAGCATCCTGACCAGCCTTCAGGAAGTAACAGGGACTCTGGCCCAAACCTTGCCATCTATTGCAGCCATCCTTATCCTCATGTTTACCTGCATGTGTATCCTGTGCAGTGGAGCTGGGGCGGGGCCTGAGGCACCAAGGTGGCAGGGGCAGTAGCTGGGTCAGTGGTGGTGGTGGTGGTGGTGGTGGTGGTGGGGAACAGGAAGGGGCTGCACAAGGATAGGGGATCGGAGCCTGGCATGACCCTGAACAACCACCAGTCCTCTTCTCTGTGGTCCTCCGGGCACTGTTCCGGAAATCAGACCCCGAGCGTTTCCAGAGCATCTTCACCACCATCTTCACCCTCTTCACCCTGCTCACTCTGGACGACTGGTCCCTCATCTACTTGGACAGCCGGGCCCAGGGTGGGTAGAGGGCAAGGGCTGGGCTGGTCAGGGCAGGCAGACCCTAAGGACTCAGCTATCCATCTGTGATGTGGGGCTTACTGATGCCTGCTGGAAGGGGTGTGGTAGGGGTGGGAGGGAGCCCCTCACTTGACCCCCATTTACCACCCCCTCTCCAGGTGCTTGGTACATTATTCCCATTCTGATGGTTTACATCATCATCCAGTATTTCATCTTCCTCAAGTAAGGCTCCTGCTCTGCTGCCCAGCCTCACTCTCCACTCCCCCACCTGTCCCCCAGGACCCCCACCCAAGCCCCCTCACCCTGGTCATGCCACCGAACTCGGGAGGGTATCAGACCTCTCCTCTCTCCTCCGGTGTCCTCTTTGAGACCACTCCATTTCCCCACTCCCCAGTCTAGTGATTGCCGTTTTGGTGGATAACTTCCAGATGGCTCTGCTCAGAGGCCTGGAGAAAGTGAAGCAGGAGGTACCCACATGGAGAGGGAGTGGGTGGATGGGAAAGTGGGCGCTCCAGGGGACTGCAGGCAGGACTGAGGCCTCTTCTCTGTAGATGGCTGCCCAGATCCACGAGAAGCTGCTGGATGACTCCCTGACAGAGCTCAACCAAACAGGTACTGGCCCTGGCCCTCTCCTTCCACCCAGTCCCTCTCCACAGCCAGGCACTGAATCACAGGCTCTGTTTTAAAGAACTTTAGAATCTGAGAGGCAGAGGAATTTTCAAGTTTAGAACTTTAAAGAAATTCTAGGACAATCCTCTAAAGTCAATTAAGGCAGAGTGGCTCAAGTGTTAGAGCGCTTACCTCACAAGTGTGAGGACTTGAGTTCAAACCCCAATACTGAAAAAAAAAAAGTAGACACTCAATACAGAACATCTTAAGCTAAAAGAGAGTAATTGGCTCCCATTACTTAGGGTTTTCAAGAATGGTTTGATCCAGGACTCAAATGATGATCAGGATTTAGTCTCCTTTTATACCACTGCTCTGTGTGGTTCTGTTCTTAGAGAAATTCTTTCCTTGTGGTGGCAAAATGGTCACCTGCAACTCTAGGCCCAAGTCCTCACAGATTAGCCATCCCTGCCCTCCCAGCAGAAAATGTGACCTTCCTCCCCCAACCAGCAGTTCCACCCAAGTCCCAGAAATGAGCCTCCTTTGTTCCGATTGAATCATGTGCACCTTTGGAACCAATCACCAGAGACTGTGATGGACCAGGTTGCAGTCATGTGTCCTTGGAACTAGGAGGGCAGTGGTGGTGGTTGGGGGGCAATCCCAGCTAGACAATATGGAGTGAACCTGGATGAGGGAAGTTCCTCAGGAAAACTGGAATGCTGGAGGAGTAGCTCAGTGGTAGAGCATTTGCCTAACATTCAGGAGGCCCTAGGTTCCATCCCCAGCACCACACCCATAAAATAATAACAAACAAAAAGAAGGAACAGAGGCTGGGCAAGGAAATGAACAAACAAATTTACTACATATTCCATGCCTGGAGAAGCCACCTCTTTGGGACATGCTGGAGAGAAATTCCTTAAGCTTTGGGGTTCCTCTACCTCCTCAAATCCCAGCATCTTCCTGACATTCTTTGTCCCTACCTTGCTCTTTCTTCATCCAGACACTGAGGAGACAGTGAGTGAAGGCGCCGTGGGGAAGCAGCTCATCGAGAGAAAGTTCGGGGCCATGACAGAGAAGTGAGGAGAGACAAAAGGGAGGGGAGGCCTAAGGCAGGAGGTCTGGGGACCTGATGTGGTGATGGGTGGGCTGGAGATGGGGAAAGATGTTGTCCCAATTTCTCTGGAAGTGGGGTCACATGCTAAATCTTGTATCCAAACCAATGGGTTGGACACCGAGACCGCAAGTGGCCTCTGGAACAGGGGAGCAGCAAGGCCCAGCTTTCAGAGAACAGAATCCAGAGTGGCCTGTACCATGTGGGATTCTACTCCTTTCTTCATTCAATAAGGATCCGTACACTTGTCAGGGCCGGGCCCAGTGAGGGCTCCCAGGGACCCAAAAGGACACAGACTCCATCTCTGCTCAAGGGCTGGCCTCTAAATGCCTGTGCTGGGCCATGGAGGCTGAGCAGCCAGGTGGAAGAAAGAGGGGAAATTGCGGTGAACAGCTTAGGTAAAGTCCTGGTGGCCAGATGGTCAACCCCCATTCCTATCTATTCAAGTGGCCAACTGGAGACTCATGTGTAAGACTCTGAAGCGTGGACCCCCTGAAGTCCTCTCTGGAAGTTAGGTCTTGTCTGCCCTTTTCAGCCTGGCTCTAGACCAGCACACAGAGCAGGCAGGCCTGAAAGCTGGTGTCCTCTGGGCTCTGCTCACCACAAGGGCATTCAGGACCCTGTGTGATCAGGCCTGTGCCAGTCTCCCTGGTCCATCATTGTCACTGCCACCCCAGCACAACCCTGCTTTGCTCACACTCTTTCCCAAGCATGGTACATATTTCTCCTCCTCCAGGTCTTTGCCTGCATTGCTCTCTCTGCATAGAATGTTCTCTGGATGTTAAAGCTAGGCTCAGGTGATCTCTGGGACACTTTCCTTGGGGGTATGGTCCACACTGGTTCTCTCCATCGAAAGCAATCTTTCAGTATAGCTTTGTCATTTTGCCTTTTTCCTCTCCTGAGTTTAAACCCCTGTAATGGTTCCTTCTCCCTTTAGATCAGGGTCCAGGTTTCTTGTTTTGACACTTCTGTATGCCTCCACCTTCAATCTATCCACTCCTTGAAACAGCCTTCCTAGAAACCCACCCCAGCCCATCAGTTATGCTCCCTGTTGTTCAGAACACCAGGAGCCCTACCCCAGGCTGGCAAATTCTCACATGTTTTCCAAACTCAGCCAAGTGGTGCTCCCTTTCCAGACCCCCACTGAATGAGGCTTCCTTCCTGGGTGCCCTCAGCAGCTCGCGTTTCTACTTTCTATTGCGTGTCCATGGTTGCCTGGCTTTGAGAGCGAGCCCTTTTTCTTGTTCCACTCCGCATCCTCAGAGCACTTTACTCATTGTTTTCAGTATATTTGGTGGATGGGTTGACGAGATCCAGTGGGTTGGTGAATGGGTAGTGGGGTGGGTGAGTGAGTGGGCAATGGATGCACGAATTTTCAGGTGGATACACAGCACCATCAAGGCTGAGTGGGTGGATGCAGGGAAGAGCAGGTGGATAAAGGCCTAGGTGAGTGTGAGTGGGTGCGGTGTTTGGACGGGTGAGTAAATGGATGGACAGATGGTTGAGTGGGTCTGTGGAGAGACTCAGATAGATGAAGGGTAAAACACATGGATAGACGAATGGGTAGATAGAGGAGTGGCAGAGCCTCTGTGGTGCAGACAGACGTAAGGGACTTTTTAGGCATTGAAAAGGAGACATACTGAAGATGGACATCTAGGATGATGTAAATTTGAGGAGCAGACTCTAAAAAGAGCCATGTAGGGGTTCTGGGAACCCAGAAGGGATACCAGGCAGGGTGGCCCAGCTCCTGCCTCACCACTGTGCTCCTCCAGGCAGCGGGAGCTCCAGTTCCAATTCCTGCAGCTGGTGGCTGGAGTGGAGCAGCAGCAGCAGAAATTCCGTTCCCAGGCGTCTGTCATCGATGAGATTGTTGACACTGCCTTTGAGGTGAACCAGGCAGGACACCGGAGGGAAGGGGAGAGGAGTTTCTCTGGGGGGTCCTGTCCAGAAGTGGCCAGTTACAATCAATTAGGCATTTTCAAGGGCTGGCATTGGTTCACTCACCCCCCTGTCCCATCCCACAGGCTGGAGAAGAAGACTTCAGGAAGTGACCCTGGAGAACCTTTGGCGAGCTGGTTGCCCATGGGGTGGGTTGGGACAAGTCGCTGCTCTGCTGCTGTGATTGGGCACTGGAGAGACAGAGTCCCAATGGAGTTTTAAAACCCTAGGTGGCTCTGTGTCCTAACTGGCTGAGCCAAGGCACAGGGCAAGAGAACTTCTGTGTTGCACACAGGCATATGTGTGAGTGTGATGTGTGACAGGGGCTGTTCTTGGCTCTCCTCTGGCCTTCCAGGGCCCAGCATCCTAGCTCTGCCCAGCAGTGCATTAGCAGTAGCCAGAGGGGTAATGAAGAAAGTGGGCCCTGATCAGGGACTGGCAATGCTAGTTGGGGGACATAGTGAGAAGTACCCTACTTAGGGAAGGAAGGTCCATCTGGTCCAAGAGTCAGGAGAAAAACAGGCCAGGTTAGCCCAGGATTGTCAGGGCCTGGGGCATCAATGGGCTCCAAGAATAGAGATCAGTGTCCATGAACTCAGGCCACAAGGATCCCCAGCATAAGGGTGCCAACCTGATGGGGATATAAGAATTCAGAGGTCATTGCCATCCCCTCCCCTGCCTGGGGTTAGGATACAGAGCCTTGGTGAGGGAGTGAGGAGGCCTCTCAAATCCTTTTCACCTTAAAGCAGCTCAGGGCAGTGGCTTGTAGAATGGACAAGCTTCTGGGAGAGGGCCACAGGAAATGAGGCTGACAGCTGCTCCCAGCCCACCTGCTGGCGGGTGGTAGTTTGGCCAGCCCCTCTCACCTCTGGGCTGGACAAGACAGTGGTGGAGCTCCCAGGGCCTCAGGATGGAAGCAGTAACTCCTCTTCCCATCCTGGCTGGGAATAGACTATGCACAGGAAATGCCATCTGGGATTTGACCATAGATTCCAGGGGTGGAGAAGCCACTAGGCAGACATAACTGGGCCTGGACTCATCCCAGGCCTCACACATTCACTTAACAAGTATTTCCTGACACCCAACCTGCATTGGCCACTTGCTGGAGCCTCCTGCTTGGTGGCACTTGGAGCCCTTCCAGTAGCAGCCCCAAACACCTAGAGTTATCTGAGCTATCACAGCTAACAGGCTCCAGAAGACGCAGGCTGCGAGTTGTCTCCTGAGTTCCTGTCAAATGTAACCCATGTAAAGAGTCTATTTTCCACCTCTCCATCCCCACTCCAGTGTGGCTCCCAGGGCAGCAGGCAGAGCTAAGCTGGGGCAATTGCTCATGAGGTCATAGCATTGGATTGGGGTAGGCAGGCATAAGGATGGTGTGAGGCCTTACTAGAGGGGCTTTCCACACCACCCCTATGCTGCCAGCCTGAGCTTGACACTGCCAGCACCTAATGTCTCAAGGCGCCTTCTGTCCTGGATGTGGGTGCATATTGGTACATCAGAGCAACTCCTCTGGCCTGACACATGGGTCCCTGGCTTGTGTGTTTGAGGGCTGTGTGCACATCTCCAGGTGGCATCATAGGAGTCTCCTTCCATGTTTTGCCTGTGCTACTGCGTTGCTAGGTGGTATGGATGGTGTTTTTCTGGCCTTGTCTGCAGGGTGGAGGAGAATCTGGGTGTGTCCTGTGAATTACTATGAGGTTGTGTGTGTGTGTGTGTGTGTGTGTGTGTGTGTGTGTGTGTGAGTAAGGATTGCAGCCACAAACTCAGGTGTGCAAGAAATGCTGTAGTTGTTTTAAGTGGCATGAAATGGCCACAATCTGCTGTGGGTTTCAGATAGGATCTTGCTCCCTCTGGGACTCCAGGTTCAGCCCCTTCCAGGATCTTTGCCCAGGGCAAGGCATTGGGGGAGTCCCTGTGGTACACGGCCCATAGTGAGGACAGGACATGTGAGATATTGGCCTGGACTCAGGGTCTCTTGGCCTGCAGGGGCTGGGCAGGATGGCCATCTGCTTCCCCCACCAGCAGGCACAGCAATGTTTATGGCTCAGAGCTCAATGAGCTGGGGCGTGCCTGGTTGAAGCCTCTGCCTGCACCCCTCAGCTGCTCCTGGATGCTGAGAGGAGCAGGGCACAGGTTCCCCTTCAGATCTTGTGCCCTGCTCACCCGTATCCCAGCTAGACTTGGGGACATTGACCCTCTTCTGTGACTTTGTCTCCCACCCTTTCCCTCTAAGACTTGGGAGTCTCTGGCTATGTTTGGGATCTCTGGACGTTTGTCCCTTTCTGTCTATGATGCCAGAGTGTTTGGAGGGCTCCCAGCTTGGAGGCTGAGCCTTGTACCCACAGTAATGTCTGGACTGGGACAACAAAAGCTCACGGCAGGGCTTGGCAGGGGCATCAGTACCCTATCAGCTGGGAGTGCTGAGAGCCACTAGGAGTAGTGGTGGATCCGGAGGGGGAGGAGTGAAGCACACAGAAGAAACCAATGCGAGAAGTGGTGCTGACAGTTTATTACAACAGGCATGGCCACTAGTCCTGAAATGCCTTCCATGGCTGTTCCCACTCCTGCTTCTGCCATGCTGGGGGCCTATTATAGCTGCACACAGTCATGCTTTAGAAGCTGAGAGGAGTTCTTCCAGGGGATTTCAAGGATCTCAAAGTCACAGCGCAGCTTCTGTGGACAGAATACAGTGGACAAGGAGGGGTGAGCCTGGACCTCCCGCCTCGTCCCAAGGACCAGCCTCCGCCTACCTCATTGCTCTGGGCCAAGACAGGCAATCATGGCCTGAAGGACATGCAGTCAAATGGTGAGAGCTAGATTCCAGATCTTTCCAGCCAACTCCCATCCAGGTTAACCCCAGCCTCTCCTCCCTGCACCCCATTCTGGCCTGGAGGCTGAGTCACCCAAAGGCTGGACAGGTTCAGCCAGGTGTCTGCCTGACTAGCCGGACCAGCTCAGGGTGAACAAGTCGAGGGCCTCAGGTTCTGCACAGGGCTGGGGTTTGGGGGCAGCACTGTTACCTCCTGCTGCACTCCTGTGGCCAGAGGGCAGGTGGTGAGGTCCACACCATCTCCAGAACCATCTCCAGAGACCCTGGTCTTCCTGCATGCTGTGCTCTCCATGTCCACTGTCAGATAGTACTTGACACCAGCCACCATCTGGGGACAAGGCAGGACAGGTCAGGGGTGCCTGGGAGCCAAGCTGGGGTGCCTATACTGCTCAAGGCACTTGCAGCACTCAGGCCTAAGGACTCAGGTCTAGGGTGGGCTGGGGGCTGTGGCAGGGAGCTGGGGGAGAAGGCAGAGGGCTGGGCCCTACAGGAGGCTGAGACTCCCCTGGACACACCTTTAGGAAGCTGAGGCAGGCATGTGAAGGGAGGCATCCAGTGGCCCTTCTGCTTCCCTCTCTGCCCCCATCTAGAAGGGACCTCCGGGTTATGCCATGCAGGGTTGGACCCCGTCTTTCTTTGAAATTTAGGCATTTTGTTTGTAAGGGACTTTGGCCTTCATTCTATTTTTTTAAAGTATTGTATGGAAGTTGTGGTTGCTCTAGGTGCCCCCTTCGCCTGGTGGCGGTCAGCTGGCTCGCCAGTCTCACCAGTGCCACCAAAGGCCCCTCCTGTCACCGCACCTGACTCTGCGCCTTGACGATGTGCGTGTCTCGGTAGTAGTAGAGGCTATTGCTGCCCATGTTGTAGTTGGCCACCGCCATCTGCGCCGCCTTCTGCACCTGCGGGTCATTGGGGGACAGGTCCTTGCGTTCCCCGGTCCTGCGGCCCCGAAACTCAGCGCGGGCGTCGGGGGACAGCGTCAGGAGGCAGAGCGCGAGCAGCGCCAAGCCCATCGCCAGCGGCAGATGTGGACGCGCCATGGCTGGCAGTGTCAGTGCGGAGCCTGGACCGGCGCCGCTTTTATGGGCTCCCGAGGCCCCGCCCCGCCCCGCCCGCCCCGCCCCGCCCCGCAGCCCCGCCCCGCCCCGCAGCCCGCCCGCGTCCGGCCGGCCAGGACTTGGAGCGTGTGCCTGCAGGCAGCAGTGCCTTCTCCGCCCCCAGGTCCTGCGGGTCCAAGGCGCAGCCCACAGGCCCCAGGACCCCTGCGTGCCACGATGCTGCCTTGCCCTCCAGGAGGGAGAGGACAGTGACAATCCTCAGCAACAAGTGCCACCATAGAGACAGTTCATCGTCTGAACTACCAACAGCAGTATGGTTGAGCTGTTATTTAATCGCTGATTGCCTCAGTTTCCTTTTCTGGAAAATGGGTGTTGTGGGGATTCAATGAACTGACACAGGTAAAGGGCTTTAGGAGAGGCCTGGCGATGCACAAATGGCAGGTAAGTAAGAGATCTTACTACCCTGAGCCAGAGCTGGTTAATTCCCCTAACCAGATTGAAGTAGGAATTACTAATGCTTGCACTTTACCCAGAACACAGCACAGAGGGGAGAGCTGACTGGCCCAAGGACAGCAGCTGGTAACCAGTAAGTTACCACTGGCTTTTGAGTCCTGGGAGTATACATCAAATCTGTGTTCATAAACCAGACTGGGCTCAGAGGGTGAGAATTAGCGGGAAGGGGGAAGGAAGGCACCATACTGCTGACTGGGTGACCTTGGACAAGTCAGCCTACAACCTCTACGCCCTCATCTGGAAGAAAAGGGTGACAACCCTTTGCCCCTAACGTTGTTCCGATGTTGATGGCTCCAGTGAGTTACCAATATGTGCACTGGGCATGTGCTAGAAATGCCAGCAAAATAAGGGTCCCATAATTTTTTGAAAGAACCTAATACTCAGTAGATAGAAAACAGCATTGGAGCAGTCAACACAGGAAAAACCTGGATTTTGTTGGAATTTTGTATTTTTGAGCTCTACGTAGTTCATGCTTTTAATGAATTAAATGTTCCTGGGGACACTAAGACTTTGTCTTGTCATTTTCTTGTCATTGCTTCCAGGCTCAAGGTTTTTTTTTTTTTTTTTTTGATGGTACTGGGGCTTGAACACAGGGCCTTTCCAGTAGCTAGGCAGGTGCTCATCACTTGAGCCTCACCCCCTGGCCCTCCAAGGGTCTTAAATAGTTCTTGAAAGAGGTGGCTGCTTGCAGTACCTAACAGGTGGTGTGTAACAAGTGGTAGCTACTGTTGTGCCAAATATTATAAGTAGGCATTCAATGTATCCTCCTCCCCAATTCTAGATCTTTCAGAATCTCAAGACCATGAGGCAGTGATTTCTCAGACCATAGCATGGTCACTGACCACTCCAGCCTTCTCAGCCCAGCTATGACAAACTGCCACCACCTTGGGATTCTGAGGAAAGGGTCACAAACGTGTTGCAGGCTCAGGTGTTTGCTTTAAACAGACTCCAGTTTGTGGGAGAGCTGGCCCAAACTTGGTTTGATGAGGAGGCCACAGCCAAACAGAGAGACTCTGAGGTGGTGGAATTTAGGGGTAGAGGAGAAGCACAGGTGGGCTCACAAGGGAGTTGTGGGAGAGGCAGCCCCAAGGGACCAGGGGGCCTCCTTGGGCTCCCCAGGCTCTGTTCTCTTGTCCAGTTACAGCCACACTTGCCTTTTGCAGCTCCCTCAGAAACTAGCTAAGCCAGTCGCCATGTAATCCTAGCTACTCAGGAGGCAGGGATTAGAATTGTGGTTCGAAGCCAGCCCGGGCAAATAGTTCACAAGACCCTATCTCAAAAATACCCATCAAAAAAAGGACTGGTGGAGTGGCTCAAGTGGTAGAGTGCCTGCCTAGCAAGCATGAATTCAAACCCCTGTATCACCAAAAAAAAAACAAAAAAACAAAAAAAAACTAGCCAAGCAAGGCCCCAGCTTTCACCCTCTGAGAATGGAGGATCCCCAGCTCACCAGCACTGACTCTGTCACTGATTTGCGCTGGCATTAGTGAGTCTCTAGTACCACAACCCACAATCTAGCAATTTCCAAGTACCTCTCACCGACTGGTCACTTCTCACCAGCATGAGATAGTAAGCATTATCCTAGTTTGCAGATTCATTAGCGAGCTAATCTGAGGTCACTTGGCTAAAAGTGGTGTCCCTGAGAGAAAAGAGGAAGAAGGGAGGGAAATTAGCAATCACTGGGCTCTTGCCGTGTGCCTAGCCCTGTACTGGGGACTGATACATACTCTCTCATTCCGAGAGTTGCTCTGAGTATTACCTCTCCCTACAAGGAGAGCATGGCAGGCAAAAAGAGTTGGTGGTGGGATATGGAGTAGCACCCATGTGCCAGCAATGTCCTGGTGTGTGAACCTTGGGCTGCTCTACAGGGACATAACATCTGCTGCACAGAGGAGTGCTCCCTGCAAGTCCACTGTCCCTGGCCTGTCTCAGGACTGGATTTCATCTGGAGAGGAATCTGGAGGCTGGACTCCATTCTGTCTGCACCACTCTGGTCTCCCAGAAAAAGTCTTGAGCTAAGCATGAGCTTGAAATTGGCCATCCTAACCAGTCCCAGGGCACAGCCTCCAGTTTTGCTGTGGCCCAGACACCCCAAACCAGGTTTCCCAGAGCATCCTTCTCTTGCTTCTGGCCTGAGGGGTCTTGATAACCCAGGCAGCCCTCTGACACCTCCTTCCCCTGGGACCAGGCCCTCCAGGACCTTCTTGCTGCCCTCGGATGCTCTTCCTTGAGCCTCCAGCTAGGTGGAAGGCAGTCCCTCCCCAAGGCTTTACTTCCCTTGTCACCCCATATCCTGGAAAGGAGACCTTATGGCAAGCACACCTGTGACCCAAGAATGACTAACGGACACATGTGATCTAGTGCTGACTCTGAGGAGGAACTGCCCCAAGTAGTGCCCAGGCCTTTCTTCAGCAGTGGGCCTAAACTTCCCAGTCCTGCACTGCTGACAGGGCAGACAGGCAGTGAGGCAACTTGCTCCAGATCACCTGGGAGTGAAGAGGAACTTGCTAAGGACCAGGCCTCACAGACTCTTCACCAAGGCCAGGAATGACATCAAGAGCCTTGGGCCCTACAGGGAAGGGGAAACCCAGAAGGAAGTTGAAGACCATGAGCACCTTACTGTGCATCTCTCACAGGACTTAGGCTGCTGCCTGGCAGGATGGAGAAGGTGTCTTGAGCCCAACCTTCTGGGTCCCATGGCAAACTAGATAAGTAGACTCCTGCCCCACCCCCCCCCAAGGTCTGCTTTCTCCTTCCAGCATGTCAGGATTTGGTCCCTTTGGCTATCTGGCTGAGTTGAAGCCGTACCTCTGACAGACCGCTCTGTCACATGGTACATTCTGGATGCCCTTTGATCCCTGCTGCCCCAGGACTGATCCAGGAACTTGTGTTGGATGCAATGTGGAGCTCAGATAAAGGGTTTGTGACACTGCCTAAGTCCAAAGGGAGAGGCAAGAAAGCAGGTTCCAACCTCTTCAGAGACAAGGTCTGTAGGCGAGCCAGGGAAAGACAGATGAGGAAACAAGGCAGACAGCACGTCATACAGGGTCCCACCATGGTCCCAGTGCCAGAGCCAGAAAGGCAACTGCAGTCAACCTGTGTGGGCTGGAGCGATTGAAAAGGCTTTGTGGAGGAGGAGGAGTAGTCTCCATTACTTGGCATGGTGCCAGCAACAATCTGGCACTGGCAGGGCTGAGGTGTGGAGAGGTGTGGCCTTACCAAGCCCCTGCCTAAGCACACTGGCCTGTGTGACAAGAGTTGAGGGTAAGAGTTTCTGGATCCATCCAGGAAAATATCAACCACCCAGTTTGGTCTGAAAGTACTGGGAAAACCTCCCTTATCCCTTATCACAGTGTCTGGGCTGTTGACAGATGAGCAGCCTACCAGGAAGTGGCTGAAACCAGAGCTAGGTCCTGCTGTGGCCACCTGGAGCCCTTCCAGGGTAAGCTACACACACTGCCTAGACCAGTTTAACTAAACCCTCATCCTTACTCATGACAATACAGTGTCCCATTTATCCCAGAATTGTTCCATCCCTGGCTCTTTGGTTTTTGTCTTTTTATCCTTCTGCTATTCCAGGATGTAGGTAATACACAGAAAATAGCATGATACATGTTCTTTTTAACTAACAGAGTCTACGCCTATATTTCCAGTCCACAGGTCAAGAAATGGTAATGCTACCCCGACTCCCAAGGCCTTCCCAGATCACACCTTTCTCTCTTTCCCCAAATAATCAATATGGATTTTTCTTTTACTTTTGATTTTTGCAATAAGCTTTTCCCTGCTTTGTTTTTAGTCTTGTCACACACGTAGTGATAACTAAGAATTTTTTTTTGTAGTATTAGCCAGGTGCTCTACCACTTGAGGCATGCCCCCAGCACTTTTTGCTTTAGATATTTTTCCTATAGGGTCTCGCTTCATGACCAGGTCAACCTGGACTGTGATCCTTTATTTACACCTTCTGTGTAGCTGGGATGACAGGCCCACACCACCACACCCAGCTTTTATTGGTTGAGATGGGGTCTCATGAACCTTTTGCCCAGGCTGGCCTCAAACTGCAATCCTCCTGATTTCCAATCCCCCCACCCCCCAGTAACTAGCATTACAGTCTTGAACCAATATGACCAGCCTGAGAATTTAATTCTTAATTTTACATGAGTGGAAGCACACCGTTTGATATTTTGCTTCACTTGTTCAGTATTGTTTAAGATTCACCTGTGGTATATGACTCAAGGGGGACTCCCCCTTGCAGAGTCTGAGCTGTCAGGGTGGGCCTGACACCAAGTGCCTCAAGGCATGAGGTTACGGTCTCCTATCCCAGATGTGGGTGCGTGTTGGTGCATCGAAGCAACTTCTCTGGCATAGCACACGAGGCTCTGTTTGGGGGTCATGTGTACATCTCTAGGTAGAATCTCTGGGACATCTCCTCCTGTGTTTGGCCTGTCCTACTGCCTTGCTTGGTGGTAGGGGTGTTGTTTTTCTGGCCTTGTCTGCAGTATCGAGGAGCATGAGTGTGTCCTGTGAGTTACTGTCTGTAGTGCCGAGAGGTGTGTGTGTGTGTGTGTGTGTGTGTGTGAATAAGGACTGCAGCCACAAACCCAGGTGTGCAAGGAATGCTGCAATTGTTTTCTTAAAATGGCATGAAATGGAACCTAATCTCCTGTGGGAACCATCCCTCCTGTGGGCAGTGGATAGGATCTTGCTCCCTCTGGGAGTCTGGGTCCAGCCCTTTTCAGGGATGGGCAAGGTATTTGGAAAGTCCCTGTGGTACATGGCCACAGTGACGACAGAACATGAGAGGCACTGGTCTGGTCTGGGGGCCTCTTGAATGCAGGGGCTGTGCAGGACAGGCTGTCTGCTCCCCACCAGCAGGCACAGCAGCGTTTGCGGGTTCAGGGCTTAAGTTGCCAGGCTGAAGCCTCTGCCTGCACCCTCGAGCTGCTGCTGGGTGCTGTGCTGAGCACAGGCTCCCTTCGGAGTAATCACAGGCACCCATACTCCTGCTAATCTAGGTCCATTTTCCCTTTTCTGTGACTTTGTCTCCCACCCCTCCACTATGAAACTACTGAAGACCCTGGGGGGGCTCTGGAGGTCTGTCCCTCTTTTATGATGCTGGGGTGTTTGGGAGGGCTCCAGACTTAGGAGACCTGTACCCTTAACACCATCTGGGGTAGGACAGCAGAAGTTCCCTGGGGGTGGCATGGATGCCCTGTCAGCTGGGGGGTGCTGAGAGCCACTAGGTGTGGCAGAAGCATTAGGAGGTGGAGTGAAACAGAAGAAACCAATGGCTGGGGGGGGGTGTGGCTCTAGTGGTAGGGCATCTGCCTGAATTCAAAAACCCTGCCAAAACAAAACAAAAAATTTAAAGGCCAGGTTCTGTAGCTCAAACCTGTAATCCTAGCTATTGAGAGGTGGAGACCAGGAGGATCATGGTTTGAGGCCAAGCCAGGCAAAAAGTTTGCAAGATCTATTTTAACCAATGGCTGCACCTGCGCATCCTCCAAGCTACAGTTCAGAAGCACAAATAGGATTGCAGATCCTGACCAGCCTGAGCGTCAAGCAAGACTCCCCCTCAAAAATAACCAACACAGGGGTGGTGGAGTGGGTCAAGTGGTAGAGTGACTGCCTAGCAAGCATGAGGCCCTGAGTTCAAACTCGACTATCACCAATAAATGAATAAATAAAATGAAGTAAAATAAAATAACCAACACAAAAAAGGACTAGTGGAGTGGCTCAAGTGGGAGAGCATCTGCCTAGCAAGCTGGAAGCCCTGAGTTCAACCCCCAGTACCTGAAGTCAATCCAAGAAGCAGCACTGGTGATTTATTGCAGCAGACATGGCCCCTAGCCCTGAGGTGCTCTCTATGGCTGTGCCTGCTCCCAGCAGATCCTGCTGCTGCCATCCTGGGGGCCTATTACAGCTGTTACAGGGGTGCCTGGAAGCCTAGCCTGGATGCTTATTTGTCCCCTCCCACCAGGTTCTCCCACTGTCCCAGGCACCTGTAGCACTCTGGTCTGAATCAGACATGTGGTGGGTGTGGGGGCTCTGGTAGGGATGCCAGGGGAGAGGGTGCAGAGGTCTATGCCCTGCAGGAAGCTGACACTGTTCTAGGCATACCTTCCTGAAGCTAGGGCAGACATGGAGGGAAGCACCTGCCATTCCCTCTGACCCCCTCCCCTTCTATCTGGCAGTAGATAAGTTTGGTGAGTTATGATACATACAGTTGGATCCGTCTTTCAAATTTGAATATGCTGTCATCATGAATTTTGGCATTTATCTGTTTTTTCAAAAATATTTCATGGCCAGATGCTGGTGGTTTATGCCTGTAATCCAAGCTACTCAGGCGGCAGAGATCAGGAGGATCAGGGTTCAAAGCCAGCCCTGGGCGAACAGTTCACGAGACCTTGAAAAACCCATCACAAAAAAGGGCTGTGGAGTGGCTCAAGTGCCTAACAAGTGAAAGCCCCTGAGGTCAAATCCCAGTACCGCCAAAAAAGAAAATTTTTTTCATGAAACATTATCTTGATTGCTATTTCAGTGCCCTCTTCATCTGGTACCTGGGCAGCACCTTGCTGGACTAGCCTGCTGCACCTTGCTCTGTGCCTTGAGGATGTAGTAGATGCTACTACCTGTGCTGTAGCTGGCTATGGCTTTCTGCCCTGGCCACCTGGTGCCCCTTCCAGGGTGGATGGTTCACAATGCCCAGACCCAGCCTTGAGTGAACTCTCACTCTTACTAATGTCAATATAGTTTCTGACTCACCACATAATTGCTCTATCCTCAGATCTTTATCTTTGGTTTTCCTTTCATCCCATTATTCTGAAATGGGATACAGAATATACATGTTCACATTTTTTTTTCTTTTTCTGCAGTTTTGGGGATGGAACGCAAGGTCTCACACGTGCTAGGCAAGCGTTCTACCAGTTACATCCCAAGCCACGTTCAAATTCAATAGTCAGCATTTGTATTTCCATCTCCACAGGTCAAGAAGTGGAAACACCACTTCCACCCAAAAGCCTCTCCATTATCATATCCTCCTCTCATCTCAAAGGCAATCACTATAGACTTTTTTCTCCTTTACTATTGATTTTTTGGGGAAGGTGCTCAGGGTTAATTCAGGATTTGAGGACACAATAAATAGGCACCCTACTAGAGTCACACCCCCAGCCCCCAGGCCCTACTACTGACTTGTAATAAGCATTTCCTTGGCTTTCTTCCTAGTTATCTAACACGTTAGGGATCACCAAGCAAGAATTTAACTTTTAAACTTACATGAATGGAACCACACAGTTTTGCCTCATTTGCTCATAATTGAGATTTTTTTTGTCATACTAGCTGTTGGTTGTTTCCCCTGCTGTGCTGTTTTCATTACTCATCTAACTAGTACTGAGAGCCATTAGCAGTGCCTAGGTTGGGGGGGTTGTGGAGGCTTTTATAAACAAGGCAGCTGTGTACATTCGCACACGTCCTGGAACAGGTGTTCAGGAGTGTCCTCCAGTCTTAAGAATGGAATGGCTGGCTCACAGGGCGTGTCAGTTTTGCAAAATAACACCCAACTGTTTTCCCATTTGCTCATAGTAATTTACTCCCACCAATGGGTTATCAGTTCCGATTGCTCCATTTGCTTAACACTTGGTATTGTTCTACTTTAAGGTTTTTGCCAATCAGGTGGGTGTTGATGGCATTTACTTTTCTGATTACTAACGAAATTGAGCTTTTTCACATGCTCCCTATTAGAATATCATCTTCTGGGGCTGCCATTCACATCTCTTACCAAGGTTCTTATTGTGTTATCTGCCTTTTTCTTTTTTTAAAGAACACTTTAGTAGTATATGATAATTATACAGGGGGTTTCATTGTGACGTTTGCATATATACCTGCCGTTTTCTTTTTTTTTGGCAGTACTGGGGCTTGAACTCAGGGCCTATACCTTGAGCCACCCCATCAGCCCTTTTTTGTGATGTTTTTTCTAGAAAGGGTCTATTTGCCTGGGCTGGCTATCAACCACAATAATCCTGATCTCTGCCTCCTAAGTAGCTAGGATTACAGGTGTGAGCCACCAGCACCTGGCGTTTTTTATTTTTGGTGGGACTGGGGTTTAAACTCAGGGCTTGGAGACAGCAGACACTCTACCTCTTGAGCCACACCTCTTCCATTTTGCCCTAGTTATTTTGGAGATGGAGGTCTTTCAAACTATTTGCCTTTGCTGGCCTTGAATTCTGATTCTCCTAATTTCAGCCTCCCAAATAGCTAAGATTTCAGACATTAACTACTAACCCCCGGCTTTCTTTTTTTGAGGCAGGGTCATGCTGTGCAGCCCAGACTGGCCTCAAACTTTCTAATCTCCAGCTTCAGCCTCTCCAAATGTGCCCCTTTCAGGTGCCCAGGCCCAGCTCCTTTGTTGTTTATATTAATGTAAATGCAAACATCTTTTCCAGTTTGGAGCTGGGGTTAGGGATGCAGCAACACTGGTCGAGTGCTTGCTTGGCATGCCCAAGGCCCTGGTTTAATTCCAAGCATCTGGGGTCTGTTTCTTTGCTCTATGGTTTTAGACGAAGTTCCTAGTAATGGAATGCAACTGTCAACTTTCTTAAATTTTCCCTACTGTAAGATAATTGAAAACTTCTCAACTTAAATGTATTTGTTTTTCATGTCACTCTTCCCTCCCTAGACGGCAAACATTGCGTGGAACTTTTGTTCATACTGTAAGCAAGGGCTGGTGGAGTGGCTCAGATGGTAAAAGCACCTGCCTAGCAAGCCTGAGCCCCTGAGTTCAAACCCCAGCGCCACCAAAAAAAAAAGAAAAAAAAACACATACTGTAAACAAGTCACTGCTCAGTGATACTCTATTGAAGGAATGAACACTAAGCAGGAATAGGTAGTATTCAGCTGGCATTTTACCTGCTCCTCACTTCATTTTCCAAGTTAGAAAGCTGAGGCTTTGAGAGACTGAGTGATGTGACCAAGGAACGTAGGCTCCCAGGTACATGGGTTCCCAAGTTAGTCTGACTTCTACTTGCTACTTCCCAGCAGCAAGTCAATGGGCAAATTAGCCTCTTTCAGCCCAGTTTCTCCACCTCTTAAAAGAAAACAATGGTTTGTAATTGTAGAAGAGAAAATATTTGCAAAGATTTTAATTTCAGGACTTGTTCATACTACGTGCTCAAAAAAAGGACAGGGCTAAAGCTGGGTGTAGTGGTTCACTCCTGTAATCCCAGCACTTGGGAGGATGAGGCAAGAGGATTGAGTTCAAGGCCAGCTTGGAATACACAACAAGACCCTGTCTTAAAGAGGAAAAAAATCTTTTTTTTTTTTTTCTTTTAAAGCACAGGACTTGAATTGTACCAATTTCAAGTGTAACTACTGACAGCCAACTGGAATTCCTACACTCCTTTCCTTCCTAAGACAGTTGGGCAGACAGCAAGATCTCTGCCCACACTTCCCAGAGACTAGGAGAGCAGATGGCGTGATGACTGGCAGATGAACTCTTACCCATGTGTGGTCCACCCTCTTCCTGGTACCTAACTCCCACTAACTTTTCCACCAGGTGTTGCCTAGCTCAGCTGTTGACATGGCTGACAGCTGGAACCTCACAGCCTACCTGGCTCCCAGGAAGAGATCCAGCCACACTCACCCACGTTATTCAGGCATTGGGACACTCCAAAGCACCTGCCAATGTCCACATGGCTCAGGTGACTCCCCTCTGGAATGGGAAGGGAAGCTGCCAGTTTCGGTGTGCACTGATAAGGAATATGGCAGAATGACCAGTCCCTGGGGAAAAGGCAACTCTTGGCCCACTAGCTTTCCAATGCACAACGCCCAGTCATGAAGGCCACTGACTTTATTGATCTAAAAAATTTTACAAGGACAGTGGCTGTTCTGCCAAAAAAGGAGCCAAATGGCATCATATAGACTGGGGGACAAAGGGCTGAACAGGACTCAGGAATCCACTCAGGAAGGCTGGTAACTGTCCCACGGAACTGACAAGGGAAGGAGTTAGGGCAATGCATGCAAGAGTGACAATTCCAAAAAGGTTGAAATGGTGGGGGGAGAGAACTCCCAAAAGACCCTGGAGTACATTGGAGGTGAGTGTGACAACAGCAATCTTTTCTTTGTAGAGGGCAGGAATGAGCCTCCACTCAGCTGCAAACTCTGGAGACTCAACATAGGGGCTGGGGGCTGAGGGTTCCCTAGAGAACATCACAAGAAGGCATCACACCACTCTCGAAGGCACCCAAAGCAGTCCCGGGACTGCTTGGCATTGGCACCACATGTGTCCTTCAGCCATTCCCGGAAGAGGTCTTCATCTTTCTTCAGCACCAGAAACTGGCCAAGAACCACATAGGCCTACAAAACAAAGCAAAGAGCATGTTGTTAAGTGCCCTGTGGAGCTAAAAGCAAGAGGGCTGTCTGTAGTCACACACCGCTGTGACCATGCCAAACTCTTCTGCTCCCAGAAGTTAAGCATGGTCAGCCTGGTTAGTACTTGGATTGGGGGCAGAGGGAGCAAGACCACTTTTGTGGCATTCAACCAACACACATACACGCCTAAGAGGCAGGCAGGTTTTGCTCCCACCTCATACCAAGTGGCCTAAGTCACGTCAGAATATCTACCACTGCCCCACCCCCATACTTACTTTTCCTCTCAATCTGTCCTGAAATACTACACTGTTCCATCCCTAGCCCTCCCAGGGCATATGCAGCTGCCCCACACCTTGTCAAAGCCCCTTTCCTCCAGCTTCTTGCCCAGGACTTCGCCAATCCCGGCCAGGCTCCCCACTGGTTTTTCTCCCATGGGCTCTGCCACGAAGTCTCGGTGTTTTTGGGAGGTTGTCATCTTGATCGTCTTACTCTGAGAATCCCAAGAAAAACCAAGTTAAAGCTGAGGACAAGGAACTCCCAAGCGGAATTTCACATTAAGAGGAAGCTAGGCCAGTTGGAGTGCTCTAGATGAGAAAACTGAGGACCAAGGAAAAGTCTCTTCCACTCTCTGCGGGTCCTGGATTTTATTACTGTGCCAATGTAAATACTATTCTGCCCTAACTGGACGCCCGCAAAGCGGTGGGAAGATCCCCTGGGTCTGCAGCCAAGGCCCTCCCTGAAGCTGTCACTCTCTCTGTGACCTTGGTTGAGCCAGTCACTGACGGTGCCTGGATCAGCCACGTGGTGCAAAAAGCTAATGAAGATTCTCTGTGGTCCAAACGCCTTGCACAGACTACAAAGAGCGAAGGCTGGCAGTGCCGCAAGCTGACTCCTGCAGCCCCGCGGGGGTCCACGCCTTGCCGCGTCCCGCCGGCCCCGCCTCCGGCGTGCCCCGCCCCCGGCGTGCCCCGCCCCGCCCCTCCACGCGCCACCACTCCCACGCGCCGCCCCTCCCGCAGCGCGGCCGAGCCCGCTCCAAGAGCGTACTCTGTGGCTCGCCTCAGCGATGGGGCCCTGCCTTCCCTCCTCCCACGACTCCTCTGGCCTCCACCCAGGGCCTACTCCGCAGCTCGCACTCACCCGCAGCTCACACTCACCCGCAGCACCGGCTCCCGTAACGGCTCCTCCCGCCACTCAGCCGCTCCCGCCGGTACCTCTAACCACTAGAACTTTCTTCGACTTCCGCTTCCGGTTCACCTCGAGCGGCCTTAAAAATAGCCAAATTGGGCGCTTCTAGCCATTGAGTGCCATAGAGTTGGGGCGCCCAGATCTCCACAGTAGCCTTTCTTTTCCGGTCTTTCCAGGGAAACCGCGCTGTCTTCCATGATCTTGCTTTTCGACCCGCCCTTCTCATTTGAAAGAAAGAAGCCTTCAAGGAGAATACTTTCTTCTGCTGCCCGTCATCCGGAATTCTAGAACTTAGGTTTGCCCGAGCTGGCCTTGGGAAGAGTTAGAGGGACGGACAAAGAGGAAGGGCAACCGGAAGGTTTCCGAGAGAGCGCCGGAAGTACAATCCTGGGCTGTGTCCGACTCAGACTCTCGTCCCACTCCTCGCGATCTGGCTGGCGGAAACCAACACCAGAGACCTGAGTCCAGGCGTCCAAGTCGACGCTACTGTCGTGACCAGTGGCAAGTCCCATTTCGGTGCTTCCGCAGGCTCAGTCTTTAAGTGAGCCGAACACGAGCCTCTCGGCGTCGGCCTGGAAATCGGAGGCTGCTTTAGCCTGTGGAAGCCGAGGACTGGAGAGTAAGTGCGGGTCTTAGATGATGCTTCCTCGTGGATGGGGAGACGGGGCAGGGAACGGCAACTAGAGGTGATACGTGGGCGTTTCCTTTGGCCTTCTGAGTACCGAAATATATATGGTAAATAAAAACCAAGCCTTTCCACAGACCTTTAACTCATTCCTGTCTTGGACCGTCGTGCTGGTCACCTAATTAGACTCTGCCTCTGATGTGTGTTAAGAAATTGTCTACGTCGTGTGGCAGTTGGGTGAAGGAGCATGTTGAGGAAGGTACGGTTAACTTCAAAACACTTTCCAGTGGAGTTGCCAAAATGATTGGCCTGGAACACGTGTGTAGTTTCATGATCACAGCAGTGCTTATGAGGACAGGAGTTAATCATACGACACTCTGTGCTGAGTACGTCTTCATAATCTAACAGCAGTGCTCACTTGTTATGTTCTCTGGTGCCTAGAGAAACTGAAGAGTTAAGAAAATAACGAGGGTAGGATTTGAATTCATGCAGTGAGACTTCTGAGCTCATGTTTTTAACCAGAACACTTCACTCCTCAGTATAAGGCTGCTCATCTTCAAAGCAGTCCTGGCTTCTGAGACTGCCATCCAAAGAACTCGGGAGGAGAAGCTGACAGTATCTGAATCCCTAGCCACCCTGGAGAGCACTCAGCATGTCTCAGGCCACCAAGAGGAAGCATGTGGTGAAGGAGGTGCTGGGGGAGCACATGGTACCCTCTGACCAGCAGCAGATTGTGAGGGTAGGTGACATTGGGCCAAGCTGCCCTGCCCCTTCTGTCCTCCCACTGTACCTTTGGGGTGGAGGTAGGGTGCAGTGCAGATCAGAGGTGTTTGATTTGACTGGTGAGGTTGACTGATTTTGTTCTTTCCTGGCCCAGGTACTCAGGACCCCAGGGAATAATCTGCATGAGGTGGAGACAGCCCAAGGGCAGCGCTTCTTAGTGAGCATGCCCTCCAAATATCGAAAGAATATTTGGATCAAGAGAGGTGAGAGGCAGCCCTCTAGAAGACAGAACCATTTCCTGTGACCTTGGCTTTCCCCATTGCAAGTTGGACTGGCTTTGTTTTTGTTACCTACAGGGGATTTTCTCATTGTTGACCCCATTGAAGAGGGAGAAAAGGTGAAGGCTGAGATCTCCTTTGTGCTCTGCAAGGACCACGTGCGCTCTCTGCAGAAGGATGGGCTCTGGTAGGGCGGTCTTCTTGATCATTGGCCCTCTGGCTTATGGGGGTACTGACTTCCTAGCCAAGGAATTAGGGGAGGAAAGGTCACGATACCCTGAGAGGTTTCTCTGTCCTCTCACCTGGTTCTTCTCTTGGCACAGGCCTGAGGCCTTCTCTGAAGTGACTGAGAAACACAATAACGACAGGAACAGGTAAGGAGCAAGTCCCGGGACAGGGAAGACAAAACATAGGGGTTCATGTCTTGGTGCCTCAGGAAGAAAGTTGATCCCACCTTTTTCCCAACGTACAGTTCCTAATGACAGCTCCCAAATATGTGGTAGAACGTGTGGTTATGAATATGGCTTGAAAGTCACATGCCTTGGGTTAAAATGCTGGCTTTATCACTAACAGCATACTGATTTTAGGCAAGTCATTTAATATCTTAAGTGTTTCCTCAGGATGGGGTGTAGCTCAAGTGGTAGAGCACCTGCCTAGCAAGCACAGAGCCCTGAATTAAACCACATTAACACCCTCACCTCCCCCCACCCACCCCGGCCCCAGGAAATAAAACTGTTTCCTTGTCTAGGTAATGGGATCTTTGTGAAAAGTAAAGAGCTAGTGCTTTTAAAATTGCTTAGTATAATACTTGTTAGGGAATATGGGCCCATTAAGTATTAGTTGTTTGTAGTAGAATTGTTACTCCTAACTGAAACCAATGGCTATAGCAAGCTTTTGGGGTGGAGTCAGTCTTTTTCTCTTTTTTGAGGGGAGATTGAAGCAAGGTCTCAAGTATGCTAGGGAAGCACTCTACCAATTGAGCCACACTCCTGGCCCTTTTGTTTGTATTTTGTTTTTGAGATAGGGTCTCTAACTTTGTCTGGGCTGGCCTCTACCTTGTCTTCCAAGTACCTGGGATTAGAGTAGCTGGTATTACAGATGTGCACCACCATGCCCAACAGCGGAGGACAGTCTTTAGCCTGTCTTCTTTGGCCTAGTTTTTCTACTGTTTGCTCTAATTTTGTTTCTCTTTTTAGTATTTATAGGATGTTTCATTTTCCAAGTCCTATGGGTTCCTGACTGCTTGGCCAAACGGGCCTCCTTTTTTGAGACTCCTTAGTTGTATATCTGGTTTCCCCAGAAGGTGTTGAGCTAACTCTCGTCTTCCCCATGCAGACAGACTCAACCAGAACTTCCAGCTGAGCCACAGTCGTCAGGAGAAGAGTCTGGTTCTGAAGACGATTCTGACCTCTTTGTTAACACCAATCGCAAACAGTATCATGAGAGTGAGGAGGAGAGTGAAGAGGAAGAGGCAGCCTGAGACCCCAGGATTCACTTCTCCACTTGCTCAGGGACAAGTGCCCGGCTCCTGTGGGCTTGGACATTCCCAGGGTGCCATGCAAATCTTCTCCCCTGGATGGGGACAAGGCAGGGCTCCTCTCTAAACTGACCTTCTGACCTAGGAGAATTAAACCCCTGGTGGGTGGTGACTTTTATTGGTGTCTGAGTACATCTCTGTGGGGAGGGAGACTTGTGATGAAGTTAAAAACCTGCTCCTTGATGAAGATCTTGGGAGCCAGAAGACAGAATGGGGAGGAAATGGGGACTGGTTAGAATCTTTCTCTGTGGTTCACTCAGTCACACTCTCTCATTGGGCACTTAGAAAGTGCCACTCCCTGTACCATGCTTCCTTGCATGTATTTAACATTAGGAGCAGTTCCACTTCCTTGACTGCTCACAGTAAATAGCGATTCAAGCATTCAGGATTGCAGTCTAGGACCTAGTGTCCCTCTGCCTCTCAGGAACTCTCAGAAAGAATCCCATGGTGCCTTACGAGCCTCTTCCCCTAGCCTTCCTAGTTATCTATTACAAGAGTGCTCAGTGCCTGCACCATATACAACCCCAGTTAGAACCCACCTGTCTCCCCTTAAAACTATCTGTCATCTCCAGACTTCTTGCTGTGGTCAGCAAACCTCTGTATGCTTACCATTTCTTGATTTTTTTTTTTTCATCTTTTAAATTTTTTTTTGGTGGTACTGGAGTTTGAACTCAGGGCTTTATGCTTGCTAGGCAAGCACTCTACCGCTTGAGCAACTCTACTAGCCCTCTTTTGGTGTTGGGTATTTTTGAGAAAGGGTCTCGCTTTTTGCCCTGGCTGGCCTCGAACCGCAATCGTCCTGATCTCTGCCTCCAGAATAGCTAGGATTACAGGCATGAGCCACAGTGCCTAGCTTCCTGTCTCCTGATTTTGTTTAAAACCTGCTCATTTCATAAGAACATCCAGAGTCCTATAACTTTTTAGTAGAGGTTACTGTTTCACCCTCAGCCTTTGTGCCTCAGCAGCAGAGGGTAGGGCTGGTAGCCTCCTTGTGACTGTTCAGACCATCCCTCCCTACTGCCTTCTTTTAATTTTTTATATATTTTGAGATAGGTTCCCCTTTGTTGCCCAGACTGGCCGCAAACTCCTGGACTCAAGCAATCCTGCATCAGTCTCCCAATTATTCACCAGCCCTCTTGGATCCCATTTATCTTTGGAAGCTTTTGCCTCTGATTACACTTTCCCATCACTGGCATTAACCTTATTTTTGTCACTGACATCAGGAAAGCTTTGTGTCATTCAGTCCCTTAATTCTAATTGAACTGTCATTGGTTCTAGACCTCTTCAGTTGATTTTCCTGGCTCTGGATAGTCAATTCATATCTTACTAGTAGCATCCTTTTTCTTACCCTTTCATGCTTTATAACTCATTTTTGTTGTTGTGAATCATAATGGACAGGCCTTCCTGTGTAGTTTTGAATGGCATCCTTGATTGCTATTCTTTTTTTTTCCTGCTGTACTGGGACTTGAACTCAAGGCCTTCTCCTTGAGTCACTCCACCAGCCATATTTTTGTGAAGAGTTTTTGAGATAGGGTCTCGCAAACTATTTGCCTGGGCTGGCTTCAAATCGCGATCCTCCTGATTGCTGCCTCCTGAATAGCTAGGGTCACAGGCATGAGCCATCAGTGCCCAGCAATTGTTCCTGTCTTGATTGAAATGGTGCTTGAATTTCATCATGGAATAGAGTTCTTGCTTTAGGTATATGGTAGGTGACTTCATTAGACTGAAGATTTTCTTTCTGTTCGTAATTTACTGAGTTGTTTCCCCTCTTTATTCAACAGCAATGAATTTTGACATCTATTGAGTTTCATTTTCTCTTGTTTTTTAAATTACTATACTGAGTTATGTAAGTTTCCTAGTGTTGAACTAGCCTTTCATTCTGATATAAAACTCTTAGTTTGCAGTATGATATTTATTTATTTAGGATCTTTATATTCCTTGGTCAATTTTGTGCTTTTTAAAAATGAGTTTCCTGGCATATTTTTGTATCAACATTATGCTAGACTTGTAGAATGAGTTTAGAGACATTTACTTTCAGTAGTGAAGTTTGAACTCAGGGCCTTGCACTTGCTAGGCAGGCATGCTATCACATGAGTCACACCCCCAGCCCTGGAGACATTTAATACTCAGGCTTAAGTAGTTGAGAAGAATTCTGTCAGGCATGGTGTCACACACCAGTAATGCCAGTACCCAAGAACCTGAAATGGACAATCAATTGTTCAAGACCAGGTTGGACTACATAGTCTCAAACAAAAGTCATTTGTTTCTTTAGCATTTAGTATAACTCGTTTATGAAAACATCTCAAAAAAAAAAAAAAATATATATATATATATATAGAAGGCCTGGCATAGTGGCTTAAGTCTATAATCTTAGCCATTCAGAGATCAAGAGGATATGGTTTGAGGCCAATCTGGGTAAAAAGTTTGTGAGACCCCCCATCTCGACCAAATTTTGGAAATGGTGGCTTATGCTTGTCATCCCAGCTACCTGGGGAAGCAATAGTCAGATCAGTCCGGGCTGGCTTGGGCATAAAGCTAGACCCTATCTCAAAAATAACCACAAAAAGCACTGGTGGAGAGGTTCAGTGCTAGGTTGCCTACCTAGCAAGCATGAGACCCTGAGTTCAACCCCCTGTACCACGCACACACAAACACACAGGAATTTGTTCCTGTAGAGTTTATAAAGATACCTGCTTGATGCCTTTTTGGGGTTAAATCTTTGCCTTTTACTTCTGTAACATTCTGTCTACTGAAGTTTTCTAATCTTAAGGTTGACTCGAGGATATATTTTATTAATATTTAACTTTTAGGGCAGATGTCATGCATAATATTTGTAAGTGACAAAGTCAAAATCAGCAGAAGCCAATGAGGGGTCACTGGGCTGAAGTCCAAGAGTGGCCCTTTAGGCAGAGCTGATCTAAGGCCAGCATGATTTCTCAGGGATGTTTGTCTCTTGATCATCTCTGCTCCTGGTCAGTCCATCCTTTTCCCTCCTATAGGTGTTTTCTGCAGGAAAATCCAGTTTATACACAGTCCTTGTGACTCATAGAGGACCTTCCTTGAGAGGATCCCTGTGTATCAAGGAAGGCTGATGGTCTTGCTCAGGTCACTTGCTGTGGCCAGGGCATTGGTGGAGGTGGTGGTACAGGACTGGTGGAGGCAGAATGGACCACACCTGATTTGTGTGATGTGTGTTTCCCATGGAGGAGAGAAGTGCTTTTGCCAGGAAAAGGAGGAGGGGTAAAACAGATAGAACCAAGAATCACATCTTGTATTCTGTGTGTTTCCTTTTCTTTGACTAGCTGTATAAGAAGTCTGTCTTCTGTATTGGCCTTGTCCTTCTGTTTCTTCGGGCTTATCTGCATGTGTAGTTAATTTTGTTTACTGATATACTTAGGGCTCTAAGTACTCTCTTTACTGTTCCTTAATTGTTCCCCACTTCATAGTATGTGTTTTTATGAGGTTTTTTGGGGGAGGTGGGGGTCATTGTATCTATAAGTTTGATCTTAGGCTTTTTTCTAGGTCACTTGGTTATTCTGTCATCCACCTAATGTCCTCTTGGTTTTTTCCCCTAAAACCACACACACCAGTGATGGGGATCAACCCCAAGGCCTCATGCATATGAGGCTAGCTCTTGGCTACTGAGCTACACTTCCAGCTCTAAGACATCTTATTCTCTACTTCTCTTTCTTAGCCACCTAGCTTCTGTGGGTCGTAGCTAAGAACCCTGTTGGAAGTGGGCTCCTTGTGTTCTTCATACTCCTACTTTTGTCCCTTTCTGAAACTGGATTCCACTCTCTTCTCCCAGCTCTGTGGTGGGATCTGTATGAATCGATCTCCCAGGATGAGCTGAGTATCCTAAGAGCCCTTTTCCCCTGATGACATGACCAGTCTATGTCCTTACTGCCTCAGTAGCAGCCCCTCTAGCAGTTATGCTTGAGGTTTTGTGGACTTCCAATCTCTGCACCTCTATCACCTTAGGACCATTTTTGGCAGCCAGGTCATTTCCACTGGGACTGTCTGGGCAGCCAGCTCACATTTCTCCTGTGTCACCCGGCCACTGTGTGTGTGCACCAAGGAATACGAGTGGCAATTGAATTTAACCATGTGCTTTTTCTTTAATCTGTAAATGTGAAGTATCTTGACATTTTCTCAACATTAAAACATCCTTGCAAGGCAGGTATGGTAGTTCACAACTGTACCCCAGCTACTCTGGAGGCTGAGGGGAAGATTACTAGACCCAAGAGTTCAAAGCCTGCCTGGGCAACATAGCAAGACCCCGTGGTTTGTTTGTTTTTCAAAATTCTTAGCAGAATGTAGTACTACACACCTGTATTCCCAGCTACTTGAGAGGTGGAAGCAGGAGTGCAAGTGTGAGGCCAACTGGGGCAAAGTTATCAAGACCGCACTCCAAAGGGGCAGGGGAAGGCCTGGGGGTGGGACTCAAGTGGTAGAATGCTTGCCTGGCAAGCCTGAGGCCTTGGGAACAATCCCCAGTATTGGGAAAAAAAACAAAACCCTGCATTCCTGGAATAACACAGTTGTGTATTTTTCATGACATCGCTGGGTTTGGTTTTTCCTTTTTCATAGTGTCCTTGTCTGATGTTTGTGTCAAGGTAATACCAACATCATAAATGAGTTGGAGAATGCTTTGTGTTTTCAAACAAGAGGTTAAGATTGGATGTGCATTTTTAAAGTTTTTGGTAAAACTTCTTACAGGGCTGGCAGGGTGGCTCAAGTGGTAAGAGTGGCCTGCTAGCATGGGTGGGGCCCCAAGGTCAAGCCCCAGTACCAAAAAAAAAAAAAAATCTTACTGTAAAAGCAGCTGTGCCTTACTTTTCTTTAAGGGGTTGGGTAGACTTTTAAACCAGATTTTGAGTGGTATAGATTATTCAGATTTTCTGTGCTGGAGTCAGTTATATTTTCAAGGAAGCATACTTTCATATATTCTCATTTTAACTATGGTTCACATGGACTGTCACAAAGCTACTTGTAGATTGCCTTATGTTTGTAATACTGTATCTGAAGCGCTGTCCCTTTTTTATATCAAATACTGTTTGTGCTTTCTGTCGTGTATCTTGTCACCTTTGGCAGAAGTTCAGTGTCAGTCTT